GCCTTTGCTTTTCTCTTTTCAGAGCGTCGCTCGAGATAATTATCGAGAATGACGTTGAACGTTTCTGGAGCAACAAACTCATATCGAGTGCACATTTCTCGTTTATCGTCTGTAAGACATTTGCCAGGAAATTATTGTTTGTTTATTTATATATTTTCCTTTTCTTATATAAAACGTTAATTGCATTAATGACGGTCTTTATATGGTAATGGTTCATGAATTGTTTACTGATTTTACTTGGTCGCCGAAATGTCATTTATCTGACTGCTTGATTGCAATGTGATCAGCAATACGTTTCGCACATGATTGCCATTCCTAATTATATAATACGTCCCCTAACAACGTCATAACTTAATTATTCGGATAAACCATTAACCTCTACTAAAATGTGTATCTTCTCTGGGGTATTTCCTGGTAAAGACTGTTACGGCAATATATCTAAGTTAGTATATGACACTCAGATTCTCAACGGAAATACAAAATGCAAGAGCTAACGAAGCTCGGTTCAGTACTGACATATCGAATTTGACTATGTGTTTTTGATTTTGATATTAAACATATCTTAATATTTACCAGCCGAGTGTGCAGATCTATTTGAAACACTTATAACATATATATCTATACATGCTATACTGTATAAACAAGTAGTAATACTTTTTTTTTGACAAAATTATGAGGTTGCATATGTAAAACCTCTTAGTAATATGGCGCAAATGTCTGGTGATGTAAATAGATACAGTATGTTGTACCATATTACACATAGTGCGACAGGTTTTTACTGATATACAAGCGACACCAGATTTGGTGTCAGATATAAATAGAAATATAGATGACGTGTAACAGTTGCTATCATTATTGAAGAAGTTGCGACATTTTATGCCATATCGTGATTAACACTAACAGAATTATGCCAAAATCAAATAAACGCACTAGACAATCTCGAAATGCCATCAACAAACGTTGGAAACGAGCAAAATATTCTAACATACTTTTTGGATAGAGGGTAAGGATACTAATACGTGATGAATTTGTAGATAGAATGCAACCAAATATGCTTGAACAACTTGTAGAAAATGCAAAAAGTACATGTATGGGCTATGTACAAGGAAGGGCACGGCACAATCAACAAAAGAGAAAGGAACAGCAGCCAATTATGTTTTAGTCACGTGATTTATATCTACCAATCGTATATTAGGGAGGCGCTGAAAATCTCTATTATACGTGTATATGTTGGGGGTATTTAATTAGTAGCATCAGGTGATATAAAACGATGTTGAGCTCGGTTACATATCGAATTTGACCATGTATTTTTGATTTTGATATTAGACACATCCTATTTGCTTACATTTTACCATCACTTGACAGCTGAGTAATTCTGAGAGCTTTGAACGTTTACTCATTTACATAGCATTTGTCTACCATTAATAGTAAAAAACCATTTCGCTCTATGTTATACAGAGTGTCAAGGGAAGCGGGATCAACCTGTAGCAATCATATGATTGTTCATAAGGTGAAACATGAGCTAACTAAAGTTGGGTTAAAATCTTCTATATTTGGTAAATTAAAATCGTATAAAAAACTACCATTACCGTCACTAATCAATTATATATATTTTAGAATACTTTCTCGAAATTCCGAATTGTTTCTGATACTGTTCGACAATGTCACATCATCTTACAGCATGTTGCACTGTTATATACTAACAATTTTTGAGAGTTGATTATTACAGAATGCCCTACTTCGTATTTACCCTAAAATGTATGACAACCCGATTCCGCTCTGCCAAGAGTTGGTAAACCAAAGGTGTTTTATAGAACATTCCTTGAGTTAAAGAACAAAGGTCACACAGCATTGGGAAGTCAGGAATTCATCAACAATTGAAACTGGTCGCTACCATCAAAATGTTGACAAAATCTATGTACGAGATCTAATTAACAACTCTGATAGAAAATGAAACTTTTTATGCAGTCTTATTAACCGCATACCGTCGCCGTAATTAGCTAATAAACATGACGATAATACGGCGAACATGTTATAGGAATCATTGTCTGCAACAAAGTTACGTAATACATTTGGATTTCACAGAAAAGCGTTGACATGATATAAACGTGCATGAAAAAGCAATAAGCAACTTTATTTAGCAAATAATAAGTAGAGGCAACGTTATCATTCGTTGGCTTGGAAACGTAATTGGCGAATCCAAATTGTAGGCAAATTTGCCGACAATACAGTTTAAGGGATAGTAAGCGTGCAGATAAAAAATTTTTTAGAACAAAGGGAATTTGATATGAGATACATGTGTGATATAATTCGTAGTTTAGATGAGTCGATAGAAAAGTTAAACTAAAAAGTATATACTTAATACTCGATTATATCCCACTTCAGATATATCCCCAAAAGTCTCCGTCCCGAAGTGGGGATATAAACGAGGGATGACTGTATATTAATATGGTTAAAAAAACCAATAAGCCTAGCCAATGGATGAGATGTGGACTATTAAAATGACGGTTAATTTTCTAGTTACACAAAATGGTTTGTTTTGTAAATCGTCATAAGATCATATCGATTTGTTATGTTGCATCACTCGAAGAGTCTGCTTTTGATATACAGTAGGTTTGTTTTAATATCAAGTATGCGATCAGGCCATCAGCTAACTAGAGGCGTTGCTAGCAAGAAAAAGTTGAAATAATTCGATGAGATAGACGTGCATGTTTGGGGTGTTCAACGTCTGAACAGCGTTTTTTCGGACAATTGTGTACCCACGTTATATTAAAAAAATTTTTTTGAATATAAATATTTCAAATGATGTCAGGTAGCACAATGATGACACAGGGGGAGACGGAAGATAAAATGTATACGTCGATCAACCAATAAGAGAATGATGCATAATTGAAAATACGAGCAATAATAAGATTTTTCTGCAGATCATTTGTTATACCAAATATCAAACTATCATTGGTAGTAAATAGTTAGAATAAAAGTCCCTCGCGATAGGAAATAGTTAGATTTGTGACGGAGAGAATATATATTCGAGCCGCCCACTCGTTCATCTATCGAATCTGCAAAACGAACCCGTCTTATCTTTATCGTTATATCACTCAATACCAATATGGCCGGTTCTAATATCCAATCGAATCACGAAAGCTATAAATACAATATTCAATCCGATCAGCTGAATAGTATGGACTCTAACTACACAAATGGCCTTCAAACAATTATTACGGGCGCGAACATGGATCAACCGATTAGTATGGGCTACAACAGCATCCATTCCTACCTTCACAGTCAAACGTCTCTCCAACCTCCCGGTCAAGATTCTTTTCCTTCCGATACCGGCCTTTCCAATCACAACGGCATTTACATTGGTGTGAATGAATCGTTGAATACCGAAAATTATGGATATATCGAGAACAATGAAAATGCGGTCAACTATTCAACTATGAACCATAATTTGACCAACTACAGTCCACCTTCTGTTCATTATCCTCTTCAC